ATATATATATATTACAAAATTAATTAAAAGAACAGTTCAGTTTTTAAAAATTCTTTCTCTTAGCAATAATAGACTTTGATAGTTAAGTAATTGATGGGAGAAAAGCAAAACAATATCAAGCGAAAATCAGAAGGACATATTTTGATGATTCCATGATGTAGAGGCAGTATATCAGCCCCAGAGTTTAATATCTACTCTTTGGAAAAATACGTTAGATATTTCTTATTCATAGCACTCATTAAGTATTAATCAACTTAGTAAGACATTTTATAATCCTAGGGACTAATTCAATAGAAATCATATAAAAGTTCTGAAACATAAAATTTTCATGCACATTCATAAATATCAATATATGAGGATATATAGTTATACTATATATGAAAAAATCATGATCACCAGAGTTTGAGGCACAACTTTGCCACTTGAACAAGATCCACCAATGTATGCTGAAAAATGTGTCATTTTGAAATTAAACATATTTGAAATATTTTGAAGGTATCACATCCAAAATAAGGTATGCAGACTTTTGATTCGCCAACACATACATTCTTTGTCATCCACGATCTCTTGTTTTATCCTTGAGATGCACAGGTTTAATCTAAAAATAGAGGGATAAAAAAGACTTTGAAAAGGATGGCAGGTCTCTTTGCAACAGTGAACCATGAGTTGAAAATTTAATATGCTGTTATTATGGCTGAAGCCAAAGAAACCCATAGAGGCATTCTGAAACCTCATTTGTCATGCTCAGGAAGTAATCCTATAAATTTATTTAAATCAAACATTATGCAATGTATTTTAAAGAGTATTTTCTCAAGCAATTTCCTGAAGATAATACAATAAAAAATGGCTAAGTACAACTCAAGGTAACATCCAGTTAGTATTACATTTCTTTCATAGTGAATCTGTCAATACCTATTCCTGATGGACTATTTCTTTGGAGAGTGTAGGATGGCCTGGAACTACCTTACCAAAATATGTGTTTACTTTCTTAGCCCTCAATTTTAGCCTATAGTATAAAAAAATAGGCTAAAGGTGAAAGGGAGTTGGCGTGCCCTTTTGGGTGCCCCTTCCCAATTAGGCCACTCACGCACCGAGAGGTCCGGCAGGAGATCTTTACTGTAGGGAGGCGAGCAGGAGGCAGGAAGGCAGAGAGAGAGAGAGAGGAGGAGGAGGAAGAAGCAGAAGGACAGAGAAGAGAACAAAGAAGGGAAGGTCCTTTTATCAGTTTGGGGGTGGGATTGCTTATTTTGGGGGTGGGCTATTGCTTATTTATGAGGAGTGAGCTACTTTTAACCTATCACAGGCCAGATTGCTTTTATGGGCCCAGTCCTGCAGACACAGGTTTCAACTTTCCTGGACCACTGTGGCGTTGTGGGGGAGGGAAACCAGAGATAAGGGCATGAGGTCATTTTAGGAGCCAAGATGTACCAGGAGAATGCAACCTGTGAGGTGGCGTCACAGCATACTTTAACATGATCAATTCCCTAACAAAAGGTGCCAATTGGAAGATGTTTTGCTTGTTTTCATTCACAGAGTGGCATTTGCTATACTTCAGTAATTAGGACAAAGTGCTTCATTACATAGGAAGCATGAGAAAAATTGAATAATTTCTTAGTACCTGTAGCTATGGAGGAAATCCAAAAATTAGGCAGATCCTGCTTTCACAAAAGCCATGTTAATTCCATTTATATGAAAAATAATTGAAGTTCCAAAGACTGAATACAGATTGCTTTGTTTCACAGATGTATTATGCATATGGTATTGGAAATAACAGTTGCATCTAGTTACTAGATCTTCCACTTCATACATTAAAGAATCAATACAAATGTCTTTGTGACTGTGCCATATAATTGTGATTGACATGGGACAGATTAATAAGAAATGACCATCAAGAAATTCCATATGTATCAATAAACTAATTAAAAGAACAATGTTTTCCTACTGGGAAAAGCTATTTGTTAGAATCAGCTGTTCAGTGTACTATTGCTTTTTATTCATTAAGTTTATTGGTACATTTTAGGTATACAATGTGATGACATTCATCTTTGGGAATTTGTACCTTTACATGATGTATCTTGGTTCTTATTTTTCCCCCATTCCCTTGCTCTCCCTTCAACCCCTCCACCCTTGCTATTTACAAAGAATTTGTTTCCATTCTTTCCTTTCCTTGTATTATTGCTTTCCCTGCTTTCTCTTTCCCCACCCCTTCCATTTCCCATTCCCCTTTGGACCTTTTCTTCCAATTTCACATTATCTATAGGACAATACAACTATCAACAAAGGATCCCAACACTTAGAGCTTCTTAGCTGCCACATGGGAAAAATTAGGCAGAAAATCAGAACGCAGTGCTTAAAGAGGATATATGAAAAATGTCAAGTTTTCAATCTCAGCCTTGTGATTCACTAGCTGCATGAATTTTAGGTCTCATTTCTAGACTTATTCATGTATAAATGGAGAACCTATTAGAATCTTTTTTTTATAAAATTTTAGTTAGATGATGTATGCAGTACACTCGATGGTGCCATGCTCAGTTAATGATATATATTATTCATATTATTATAGACACCTAAATGCCAAATAACATGCTGATCACTTTACATTTCTTATATATTTTTTTATTCACAAGCACCCTGTCAGGAAAATATTATGTCACTTTGTCAATTAGGTTGCATGACTGTTATTGTCTCACTCACAATTATTAGGACCTGTGCAAACAGAAATCTTCAGAAGAACAATTTTATTTGTGGATTATAGATGAGTTTCATACTCTTTAAGAAATTTCCCTACTGCAATCAAGTGGAAATTAATTTTTTTTATAATTATAATAAAGTTGCACTCGGGACTCATCTCTGTGGCATCATTCCTGCCTCGTAAAAGCAAGTTCCTGAGTTTGATCCCCGATACCATACAAACAAATAAAAAATAATTAAAATGAACCTAACATAAGCTATGGAATTACTCTAAATTTTCTGAAATATTTTTAAATCATTAGAAAGCGCAAGAGCAAAATTAATTTACCAAATGCACTACACTTAAACTTATTTAAGGTATTCATTGGAAAATAATACATTTATTAAAATAATAAATTACATATAGAATAACATGTGAAAAGAAAATTCTTTAGAGGAAAGCAGTTCAGTTATTCTTATTTGCTCAAGCAGGTAAAGAATTTCTTAGACATTTCTTTCTGGGTTTAGTCAATTTTTTTACAATAATATACATGTATTTTCTTTTTTTCCCTCTGTACATGGCTTTTATTATTTATATAATACAATGTAGCATCAATGCTGAATAGCATGATTATGTGCAATACATAAATTTGACCTATCTACCCACCTCTGCAGATCTGACTTGGAACTAAGGTACATAAAGTTGAAAGCAAAACTGAATGCCTTAATAAAAGTAAAAATGAGGACCAAACACTGCAATAAATCAGAAGTAGTGCCTTGTTATACATACTTCATTATTTACAGATGAATACAGGTATTACCACAACACTAATGTAACTGTACTCATTTATATATAAAAAAACATAAGTTTCATACATCACAGGAAACCTTCCATTATAACACAGAAGTGATATTACCAGACAAGCATCAGTGAAGTGTACAGCCTTTTCTAGTTGTTATTATACAATGCTGTAGATAATGCAGCCCATGCAATACATCCAAGAACACTAGAGTCCTACACCCAAGTACAATTAATATGATAAAGCAGCCCTCTGCATATGGTGCTGGATACCACTAAGAAGTCTATTGCAGCCATATTGGTTATGATTTTCCATACAGAAAGGTACAATTACATCAAGAACTGAAGTCTTTAAAAAAGCTTTAAACATTCTTTCTTGAACCAAAACATTTAACAAAAAATGTGCATGAAAAATTAACTGTTCAGATACCTTTGCAACTTAAAAATTCAGATGCATGTTATTCAATACAGCTATTGTATATGAAAACCAAATGTAGTTTTAATTTCTTCTTGTAAGGTGATTAATCCTAGTGCAGTTATATGCTATACACATTTTTAAAAATGAGAATAATGCAGACATCTGGTGCAGGTCTTCAAGCTTCAAAGATTTATCTCAAGACCCTGTTGTTGGCTTGATGGTTTTACTTATAACCAGTTGCAAAGTATACATTTCACAGAATTTGACAGCTTTTAGAAGACCAATTTAACCAGGCTTACATTTGGCACCAAACACTGGTTTCACAGAAAGGAAGGTCTGATCCTTCTTTATAGCTTTCATCCTGCCTCCAAAGAACATGTGGAAATTAAGAGGGTGAAAAGTTTAACTATAGTAGAAGTAGACTACCAGTCCTTTTCTGGTGTACCATTAAAAAAAAAATACAGGCACATAACACTCGCCAAAGATTATACCTTGATTACATTCCGAAAAGGTAGATATGCTGCAAACACGCAGAGATTTATTTCGTTTGGCACGTGGGAACTAAATTTTTTCCCTATTATCTGTGTTATTTCAATTTGCTGTGCAATTTCCATTCAATTTTATTCAGGGGAGGGCATATACATTTGATTGGGCTGTATCTATCCAATTCTGCCTGTAACAAACACCCAAACATCCCAAAATATCAATTATAAGACAGACAAGTGTAAAGTAAAACTCTGAAGAACGTCAAAGGAAAATGGCCATGCATCTGCTCTTTAATGTTTTCCTACGATATATTAAAATAAAAACACAAAGTTTCAGTCTCTTCGCAAATACTAATTTATATTTGGATTTTTTCAGCCACAACAACTGGGTTTTCTTTTCTGATTTTTCCTGAAGCTTCTGCTTTGTAATCATATGGACAGTTGTGCTTGTCAGAGTAATGGTGACGTGCACAAAACAAATTTCCATATCATCAGTCAAATCCTGTAAGGCCAACTTTCTTTCTACAAATGCAGCATCTGTTCTTCTTTCGTTTGGGCAACTCAGGAGCTTTTTCTTCACTTTTAGAAATGCTGAGCTGAGACACTGATGGCCTGGGCTGAGTAACAACTGGCTCTGACACCTCTGTTTTTTGGAGTATTTTGTCCTCTCTTGAAATGCTTATTTCTGTCATTTGCTGGGTTACAGGAAAGGCAGCCACAGACACATTTCTTGATTTTTCAGATGTGTTGTCAGCAACACCTTCACAGTTGTTTAAGCTAGTGTCTGCTCTCTGTACAGATGCAGAATCTGAGGTAGGACTGTTGGAACCACTAGCTGTCCCCACTGGGCTCATACTGCCACTATTATGCTGTCTCTGAAGATGTTCTTTGTAGCAAACAGAACACATTCCATTTGTCCTTGGGTTCCCATAAAAGCCACATCCTGTACTACACAGCAAGGGCCCTGGGGTCTGGTTAATCTCCTGAGCCATTCCTGTTCGCCTGCGGGGCCCGGGTGCACTCAAAGAGCTCGCTCGCGACGCCGGTGCGCGGTGGCCAGGGCCGCCTAGGCCTGCGGGAGGG